CAGACCAATCCTCCCTCCGATCGAGCTTCCAACCAAGCAAAAAAAAACTGAGGTAAACTAGGTAACTAGGTAAGTTATGTTTTTCAACTACAAATCAACTGTAACTTCCACTGCTTTTCCTGCTAATTAATCAACGGTCGTTTCCTCCGGTTTCTCTCCCTCAGCTCTGCGTGCTGCAACGTCACTGAGGAGCTGCGTCTGTGTCGCCGGTCCCTTAAAGGGGCAGCGACTTTATTTTTTTTTTTTTTCAACAGACTTTTAATCTTTCAAACTTATTTATGCCAGATTTTAACATGGGTTACACTAGGTAGAGGTAGAGTAGAAACTAACAATATCTCATCACTCAGGAATGGAAGGGGAGAAAACATATACAGCTCACTTGATATCAACAAAACTTAAAAAGACTTTTTTACGAAAACTTATATTCTTCTGAATATCATTCCTCTGCAATGGCACTGGGGCCCTTTTTAGATAAACTGGAGCTTCCTAGTAATGATGAACAGAAGGGAGAGATAAACAGATCTATAACAAAGGATGAGGTTTTGGAGGCCATCAAGACACAAAAGGGGGGGAAAGCCCCTGGTCCTGATGGATTTGGTCCAGAATTTTATAAAGTATTCAGCAAAATTCTAGTCAAACCTCTGACAGATATGTATCAACATTCTTTTAACAGTCATAAATTACCACAATCTCTTAATCTGGCCAATATATCCTTGATAACAATAAAAGGTAAACCTCCAGAGAAGTGTGGCTCATACCGTCCTGTTAGCCTGATTGGGGTTGATAGCAAAGTACTCTCAAAAGTTATGGCAAGGAGACTAGAGGGACTTCTACCAAGTCTTATTAATCCTAATCAGACTGGATTCATACAAAACCGTCTATTGTCCTCCAACATCCGAAGGCTTCTGAATGTGATTCAGTATACAAATCAGCATGGTGGCAAGGCTCTCACTGTGTCCCTAGATGCTGAAAAAGCTTTTGATAGAGTGGAGCGGTGCTATTTTGGGGGGTAACTTCCTTAGATGGATACAAACCACTTATGACTCACCAACGGCTAGTGTTATCACGAACTGTCTCCACTCTGAACCCTTTCCATTGGCTAGGGACACCAGACAAGGCTGCCCCCTTAGTCCACATCTGTTCGCAATAGCCCTGGAGCCCATTGCTATAGCCATTAGGCTTAATGCAGATATGAAGGGTGTCTCAGTAGGGAATACTATTTACAAAAAAGCTCCCTGTGCGGACGATGTTTTCCTGTTTTTCTCTTCCCCTGAAAGTTCAATCCTTGCTACTATGTCATTGTTGGAAGAATTTGGTAGTGTATCTGGTTACAAGGTTAACTTTGATAAGTCTGAGGCAATGCCTATTGGCAGACTAGATCTTGATGACTTGATAGAGGATTTCCCATTTAGATGGTCTACCTCAGGTTTCACTTATTTAGGAATTAAAGTATCCCCCAATCTGTCTGATCTCTGGAAACTAAATATTTCCTTGACTATATGTGCTGTTAAAAGAGACTTACAACGTTGGTCGAATCTTCCCTTGTCCTTTATGGGCAGAATCAGTTTGATCAAAATGAATGTGCTCCCCAAGATTCTCGATCCCCTACAGATGTTGCCCCTATGGATGCCCAGGAAAGTAGCATCCAGTATTGAAAAACTGTTCTCTGAATTTATAAGATTCTACAAATGCCAACCAGTGCTGGTGGTATTGGCCTACCCAACATACTTTTTTTTATAACTGGGCCTGCCATGCTTGGGTAATTTGGGGTTGGCTTCGCTCATATCTTGACTCAACCTTCTGCATTGACTCCCGGGCCTGCTTAATTGCAAAGGGCAAAACCTTGTTAAAGAGGTCACAGCTAACCTGACAGTTTACAACTGAGGGTCTAGAGGGATATAGTTTGTTTCTCTGAGAGGAAGGATTTGGTCTCTATGCTACCACCTATTTGTGGGAATGCTGACTTCATCCCGGCTAACAGTTGTTCAATTTTCAAGATTTGGAGGTCCAGAGGCATTAAGTTTATTGGAGATTTATTTGAAGATGGTATTCTTATGTCTTTTCAGGAACTTCGACTTCAGTATGGTCTTGCAAAGGAGCATTTTTTTGGTAGATTCGCCACTTTATTAGGGAACTGATTCTCCCTTCCCTCAATACTCCTAAGTGCCCCAGAATCCTTTATTAATTGCAAGAATTCCTCCCATTTTATTTCCTCCTTTTACTACTTGTTACACGACACCTGTCCTGTAAGCTTGCTTAATGTCCAACGTAAATGGGAAAGGGACCTAGATAATGAGTACATACAACCCCTGGCAAAAAACTACGGAATCACCAGTCTTGGAGGATGTTCATTCAGTTGCTTGATTTTGTAGAAAAAAAAGCAGATCACAGACATGCCACAAAACTAAAGTCATTTAAAATTGCAACTTTCTGGTTTTAAGAAACACTAAAAGAACTCAAGAAAAAAAATGTGGTCATCAATAACAATTGCTTTTTTAGATCAAGCAGAGGGAAAAAATATGGAATCACTCAATTCTGAGGAAAAAATTATGGAATCACCCTGTAAATTTCCATTTCCAAAACTAACACCTGCATCAGATTAAATCTGTTTATTAGTCTGCAGTTAAAAAGAAGTGTTCACACCTTGGAGAGCTGTTGCACCAAGTGGATTGACATGAATCATGGCTCCAACACGAGAGATGTCAGTTGAAAAACTTCTTAAAGAAGGTAAATCATCACGGATTGTTGCAAAAGATGTTGGTTGTTCACAGTCAGCTGTGTCTAAAATCTGGACCAAGTACAAACAACATGGGAAGGTTGTAAAAGGCAAGCATACTGGTAGACCAAGGAAGACATCAAAGCATCAAGACAGAAAACTTAAAGCAATATGTCTATTGAAGAAGAAAGCCATTTTCTTTTATTGTGATGGTCAAAGACCCCTGAATTCATTCCCTGTTGCCATGTGTTTTCCCATCACCTTTTGTCATGTGTTTTCCTACCTCCTGTCACAGGCACCCGATTCCACCCCGTTGTTCATTGCCCCCCTTACCTCCTGCCATTTGATTAGCAACTGTATGTTAATTTACCTCTATTCACCTCTGTATTTACATACAGGCCCCCCCTACCCTCTGACTTACAGTATAAATGTGTGACTCTGCAGATGTTCAGGGTCGGTCCACCTTCACAGACTCATGCTCTGTGTTGGTGAGCCCACTGTATACAGGAATACTAATAAACACCCACTACAGCAAACTTCACATGAGGACTATGAGTCCTGACAGAAAATGCACAGCAAAACAAATGAGGAACAAATGGGCAGAAACTGGAGTCAGCGTCTGTGACTGAACCGTAAGAAACCGCCTAAAGGAAATGGGATTTACATACAGAAAAGCTAAACGAAAGCCATCATTAACACCTAAAAAGGAAAAAAAAACAAGGTTACAATGGGCTAAGGAAAGGCAATCGTGGACTGTGGATGACTGAATGAAAGTCATATTCAGTGATAAATTGCGAATCTGCACTGGGCAAGGTGATGATGCCGGACCTTTTGTTTGGTGCCGATCCAATGAGATTTATGAAGACGACTGCCTGACAAAAACATGCAAATTGCCACAGGCACTGGGGAGATGGCAGCCATTACATCTTCAATAAATGCACAAGTTTACATTGAAATTTTGGACACTTCTCTTATTCCATCAATTGAAAGGATGTTTGGGGATTATGACATCATTTTTCAAGATGATAATGCATCTTGCCTCTACTTGATCTAAAAAAGCAACTGCCATTGACTACCATAATTTTTTTTCTTGATTTCTTTTAGTGTTTCTTAAAGCCAGAAAGTTGCAATTTTAAATTACGTTAGTTTTGTGGCTTGTCTGTGATCTGCTTTTTTTCTGCCAAATTAAACTGAATGAACATCCTCCAAGACTGGTGATTCCATAATTTTTGCCAGGGGTTGTAGAGGACGACTGGCAAGAAGCTTTGAACTGTGTCAAAAACGTGCTCTCTTGTAATTGACTGAGGGAAACTCAATACAAAATTCTTCATAGATTACACATAACACCCTCCATTCAGAACAAGATGGACCCAGGCCTATCACCACAATGCCTGAAATGTCTTCATCTTTTTTGGCAGTGTAAATACACATCACGTTTCTGGTCCTGTGTAACAAAAGAGCTCTATGGCATTGTAAAAACTAAAGTAACCAAGGATCCTGGCCTCTTTCTACTGGGTCTGCCATCTAAATTTGTGTCACGCCCCTCTCTTAAATTTAAATTGCTAAACTTTTACTCTTGGCAAGAAAATGTATACTGTTGAAGTGGATCAAGGACAAACCTTACACTGTTACTATGTGGTACAAAGAAATTTTTTCTGTGCTTCCACACGAGAGGATTAGTGCAGTGATGAAAAGCAATGAACAGTTATTCTCGACCACTTGGCAACCACTCATGGATTACCTTCCTGCAGACAGTCTTGACTTACTGTCAAAAGGATTCTCTCACCTCAATTGGAAGCCCTCTGGACTGAAAACGGACACTGGACATTTCTTATTCAGGCTGAGGCTGGGCTTAAATGTGATTGGCTCTGGCGGGTTAATGAAACTGTGAAGCGAGCATGATGAGGGAATGGGGTATTTTGTATATGTGCTACTTTGTTTACCTTTTTGTTTTTGTTGTTTTAACTGTATTGTTTGATTTGTTTTTGTTTTGTCTGTTTGTTTTGTTTCTTTTACAGATTTTAGTCTTATTGGCTGTGTCTACGTCCATGTCCTTTAATTGGTATACTGTTTAAAAAACTCAAAATTGTTATTGAAAAAAACAAAGCTCCATTTCCGTCATTTATGCAACATCGCAGCAGGCTCATATTCAGTTTACTAAATTCACAGTATTATATTTTTGCAGTATGTCAGGATACTTTTTTTGCATATAACTTGGAACTTCAAATAAAGACAATGTAAAAAAGGAAATTAAGTAAAACTGAAAAACTGCTCACCATCACAGTGCATTTTGATGTCATTTTATTTGCACCAGTTTAGCCTGTGTACAACAAACCTGTGTGTTGCATCTACATTGTAAAATCACAGTGCCGTTGTCGGTTTTCTCAAAAAGGGTTTAAAGTTCTTTACATTTCATATCAGCTGCCCTGTAAATTACATGACGTTTCATATAAAGTTTGCAACACAGGCAACTCAAAAAGTCACCAACAGCTGGCTTGTAAGGCTGAAGTGGCACAACTGCTGGATGTCAGTCTGTGGTTACTGGTTTTAAAAATGAATACATGGTGCAATCAAAAAGTCCCAACACTGTTGTATCTGCACATCATGGTAACACGTGCAACACGTGCGAGCAGTAAAGGTGAGAACACTGCGTTGCATTGCACGATGACATCCGGACAGGTGCTTCAGATGTTTTTGAGGCAGCAGGTTGGTGCTCATGCACAATTTGTGAACTGTCACGGAGAGCAAGCATGACAGTCAGCAGCTGGATGATTATCTCTGGTGATAAGTGGTGGGTCTGCAGCTACCACTAAGACAAGAAACAGCAGTTCACCAGTGACCATCTTCAATGGTTGTGCACTTTGAATTCATCTCCCAGAGTCGGACTGTCAATGTAGAGGTCTACTGTTTCGTCTTCAGTAAGGACGTTGATATTCAGTTATTCAATTAATTGTTGTCAATAATTTAAATGACAAGAATATATTTTCCAATATAGCAGAAGACGAACGACATGACAGAAAACAAATAGTCTCTTACCCTGCCTCTGAATATTTGACTTTTACAGCAATGCAAAGGAACGACCACTCAAACTATTGGCAAGCAGGGAGCATTATGGAGGTTTAGCTGGTAAAGTCCCACCATGAGAAAGTCTCCTATGACGCTTAATGCCGACCGGGCAGAGCTGTTGCTTTAAAGGCATCCTGAAAGGAGTTAAGACAGCATCATCGTGGTTCAGTGGCTGATAGTGTACGCTGTTAGAGCAGACCAGGTAAGGCAACAGCCACTGAAGCAGCTTATGTCATGTGACTTTTTGTTTTTCATATATGCAGTCTCTGATTTTCACCACAACTTGAAGAGGCACAACTTCTGGATGGCTCTGGATTATCTCGTTACTGGTGTAAATTCCTAGTTCAAAAATGCTGTTCAGTTAAAAAAACATCTAAAATTCGTTTACAGGCAAAATCAGAGCAACAATGTTCAACAAAGAGCTGACGTGAGCTTGTAATGAGTTCCTCAATCAGCTGAGATAAATCAAGATAAGTCAATGTGTAGCAGCTTGTTCATGCTAATCCTTGGACTTTTTTGTCTTCTTCTTTGGTGGAGGCACCTGTTCATCGACATTGTTGTCCATAACTGATTTGTCCTTTTTGCACTTTTTCCTTTTCTGCTTCACTGCTGACTCCTCCAGTACTACATCCTCCGACCAGCTGGAATCCTTATTGTTGCTCTCTTCTTCCTCCTTAGGTTCACTGTGGTGTTTGGATGATTTCTTCTTCTTCTTGACTTTAGTGTCAATGTGCAGCTCGGCAGTTTCGTCTCCATTCTGCTCTGTGTTGTCTTTCTTCTTCTTGTGTTTCCTCTTTGTTTTATGAGAGTCACCCACTTCCCCGTTTTCTGTACCGTTCAAATCTCCCTCAGTGGAAACATCAACAGTTACCTCAGATTTCTTTTTCTTTTTTTTCTTCTTCTTTTTGGATTGAACATCAGTTTCAGGACTTTCAGACACTTTATCACCATTTAGCTCATCAATTCTCTCAGCAGATCTCTTCTTTTTCATCTTTTTTCTGCTGCAGTCCTCCATCGTTTTGTCCAGCTTCTCTAACTGGGAAGTCGGTGTGACACAAACTGGTGCAGCACTTTCTGGTTGACTTTTCTTGCTGTACTTGGCCATGAACTCAGCCTCCTGCTGCTCTAGCCTGGCTAACTTAGCACTCATGGTCAAGCCATGCCTGGCTCCTCTAAAAAAAGAAAAGAAAAACAAAACAAACAAAAAAAGAACAGTAGCAAAGAAAATGAGGACAGGCTCTCTTACGTCATTAATCATGAAATATTCAACAACCTTTTGGAGCTTACTGCTCAAAGTTTTGGCTTAATTTGATGAACTTACTTGTGAGCCGTGCGTCCTCCACAAGCCTTCATTAGATCCGCATCAGAAAGCCTGTCGAGAAAACACTTAGAATTTAGAAACCATATATAAAAGAGAGTCTGAAACAAATTTACAACCAGTCAACATAACAAATACAAAAATAAAGCCGCAAGCGGCGATGGACGGGTCCTCGCCCTACGCTTGTCGGCCGTTGCGCACGGCGGGGTGTGGCGCAAACCTGCTCCGGGCGGGACTGTCATCCGGCATGTCGAGTTTGGGGCAGATCAGAGCAAGTGTGGCCTAGTTACGAGCCACTTCCTGTTTAGTGGCGAGGCGCGGCAGCGTGCGTGTTGGCCGGGGTGCGAAATTGTCACGGAGTTTTGTCAAAATGGCGGACTTCCTGTTGAGTTTCGGGATTGGCGCTGATTGACTTTTTTGTGCGTTCTGACCTGCTACACATGCCCACTGAATCTTGCAGCTGTAGGTGAAACGGCCTTCCGACAGGACTGTGATAAATGCCAAAAACACAGCAAAAATGGACAAAATGGCCATTGAGCGAAATTGGACGGGCCGCCATTTCCAAACCGGGCCTCATCTGCGAAGTGTTTGAAGAACTTTTAGTCACCACGTCCTGCAGTTTGTGGCTGCCAAATGTCAGGTGTGTACCACGAACCCCCTAGGAGGAGTTCGATTTAGAAAATGGCCAAAAATGGTCATTTTTGAGCAAAAATGGCCTGGCATGGTCGCGGTTTTTCCAACATGGTGGATTTCCTGTTGGATTTACAGAAACATGCTAATGGACTTTTTGGTGCGTCACAAGTTGCTACATATGTGTGGCGAAGGTCATAGTTGTAGGTGAAACGTAGCCACAATGGGAGTCTGTTGAAATATTGTAGGGGGCGCAGTTGAGCCGTGTTGCATTTTAGAGGTTGGAGCGGAGAGATATTTTTATTTGTGCCGACCAGCTCTATGTGCATTCCAAATTGCGTAGCTGCAGGTCAAACGTGCTTTTGATAGGACTTCATTGAAATTTTCAAGGTGGTGCTGTGGAGCCATTTTGGCAGTGACGTGTCCAAGTCCCTTAAAATATCAAATTTTTCGCCAGTCCTGATGTGCGTGGCGATTTTGGTGAGTTTTCAAGCATGTTTAGGCCCTCAAAAACGCGTTTCAAAAGTCGGTAAAATAATAAATAATAATAATAATCACAACGGTTACAATAGGGTCCTTGCACTGGTGTGCTCGGACCCTAATAATAATCACAACGGTTATAATAGGGTCCTTGCACTGGTGTGCTCGGACCCTAATAATAATAATAACAATAATAATAATAATTAAAGCTGCAAGCAGCGTTTGTCGGGTCCTTGGTCTGCGTTGGACCCTCATGCCCGTCTGACCTCCATTTTGACACAACTTAAACCTGCTTTAAGGTGAAGGAACCATTTTTCTGTCTGCTCAGCCTCAGACTGTCAGTGAGTCACATGACCAGCTGCACTGAGCTGCCAATCAGCATTAAAGCTGTAGGCAATGATGTCATCGTTCTTCATGTCCCTTGGTGGGAGAGTGACATTTTTACTCGCTGTCTCTCTCCCATACAGCCACAATTTTCACCAAATGTGTGTAAAAACAGCATATTTTTGTGGGAAATCTTGTTAGGAAGCCCTCAGTGTCATTTTTAAAGCTGTAGGACCTTTAGTTTTTTGTGTAGATGACCAAATGTCTCAGCATGTCTGCACATGTCCCATACACAACCATATAAAGTTTGAGCTGCGACAGCTCATCAACTTTAACGGCTCGCCATTCGAAAACCGGTTGAGAAATGCCAAATCCCTTCAGAAATTTTGTACATCAAGGCCTTCTCTGTCTCCTGTACGAGTTTCAAGTTGACACGATTTACGGTGTCAGACAAGATAATTTTTCCCCAAAAGATATTTTCGCTCATTTTCCTACTTTGAAAGGCAAATTGCAGACTTCCTGGTGGAGATAGGTCAGGGGTATCAGCGCGAGATTTGTGGGGCTCATTGAGACGAACGTTTTGGTATTGGTTTGAGCTCTGTATGACATTCCTACTGGCCGCTAATGCCGTTTTAGTGTGTTTTTCTGTAACTAGGTGGCGCTAGAGAGCTTTTCTGTTGTTTTTTTTCATTTTATCAAATTTTTCGCCGATTCGGACGTGCGTGCCAATTTTGGTGAGTCTTTGAGCGTGTTTAGGGGGTCAAATTAAGGGTTTCGCGTTCGTCAGGCAAATAATAAGAAGAAAGAAACGAAGCAGGAACAATAGGGTCTTTGCCACAGGCTTTGCCAGCAGGGGTCCTCGGACCCTAATAAACACTCATTGGTGCACATTGGCACATTGACAAACACTTTTAAGTCAGTTTGTAATGACATTCTAATACCATAAAATGTTTATAAGCTAATAAATGATAAACAGAGGGCATTAAAATACTTAATCTGAGGTGAGGCTCTTACTTGGTGTTGCTGGAGAGATCCAGTTTCTGGTCGTCCTCCTCATCTGAGCTGCTGCTGCTGCTGTCAGGTGAGTCAGAGGACTTGGGCTGTGATTGCTCCTGACCAGACAGCAGTGTGGCAGACTGAAAGACAAGTCAGTTATTGTTGACATAGACCAAAATTAGGCAAATTTATCCTGTAAAAACCATTAATGTCATCCATATCACAGCATATAAGAAACTAGGGGTGTAACAGTACACAAAATCTGATATCACTTCAGTGTTTGAGGTCATAATAATAATTGAGCACAGTAAAGAAAAGAAATGTGTAAAATTCCCACCTAAACCAACCAGTCAAGTTACAGTTTACATCCATGTCAGTCATGTCAACCATGGGGAAGAGTTTGAAGGAATATCTAATAGCGTCTATCGATAGGCAGGTGATTTTAGGCTGGCCTATTTATAGGAGTGATATCAGACAACCTCCAGGGACAGACTGGTGATGAAATCCTAATTGAAACATCTTGAAAATAAAGTCAGGAAAGATCTTCACATCAATGCAAAACTAGGTTATGAACATGAAGACAACTATCCATCAGCATGCAGGGCAGATTAATAGCATGTTGTACCAAAAGAAAAGATGTGGGAAGGTGCAACCAGTGAAAAAATTAATCTGGAACCCTGAGCAGCCAAGACCAGTGTCATCAAGTTATTATCTGTCCAAATATGAAATATGGTCACAATCTCCCCTTTTGTTCTTGAGTTATGGCGCTGAATAATGACCAGAAACTCAGACCCGTCAACAAGCTAGAAGTTTAAATATTGTTCTGTAGCGATAGATTAAGAACTTGACTTTAGCCTCTACAAGTAAGAGACGCACAAACAGCTGACCTTCACAAAGCATCCATAAAGTTTGGCTTTAGCCAGCGTAGATTTTCGTGGTTTTTTATTGGAGATCATCCCATCCTCTTCATCATCCTCCACCGTCTTCTTCAACTTAATACCATTCTATATTTAAAAAGAAAAAAAAACAGAAAATACCAGCTGATTGCACAGATGAACAACAGAAAAGCCTGAGCTGTAGTTCAATGTCACTGAAATGTGCCCTTAATGTTAACTTTGGATCCACACACAGCTTTCACCATTAACACTTCAAAGGTGATGCTTCGACACCTCAAGTTACACCTAAAAATATTTTCACACTGACTCAACTTAAAAAAAAATGTCACTACGTTCAAGTGCAGCAGGTAAAGTCTAACACTAAAGCTTGCTATCTATCTGTTAAATCAGCCAGGGTTTCTTAATCTGGCTGTGCAAGAACAAATTGCATTTTTCTCTTATTTCTGAACACCGGGTAAACAAAAATGTCTATCTCTTACTGTTCTATCGCTTTCATTGTCCGCTAAGATCTATATCTACAAGCATTATTAATTATTGTTTTCCAGACTCTGCTTCAGGGCAATCTGTGGCTGGCTTCTCACTTAGCTGCTAGCGTAGCATAAGCCACTGTGAAAGGAGCTAGTGTCCCGATTTGTGTCGGTGGCTTAGCTTCTTCTCCAGTTTTTCCAGGTTGTGGCTTTGCTAGGGAGACGCGTCTGACAGAACAGAGTGTTAAAGTTCATCTGACTACAGAGAGAGGTTATGAAGCTCCAGGTAACATAAGCTGCAGGCTAAGAGGCGCAGTAAGTCTCTTAGTAATAGCCTTAGCCAGGGATGTCCAATCCTGGTCCTCGAGGGCCACAATCCTGCATGTTTTAGATGTTTCCCTCTTCCAACACACCTGATTCAAATGATCAGGATTGTTATCAGGCTTCTGCAGAGCTTGATGATGAGCTGATCATTTGAATCAGGTGTGTTGGAAGAGGGAAACATCTAAAACATGCAGGATTGTGGCCCTCGAGGACCAGGATTGGACACTCCTGGCATTAGCTTTGCATTATCAGCAGGACAAGTTCTAGCTGCGGGCTGCAAGGTGGCGCAGTTGGTAGCACTGTTGCCTCGCAGCAAGAAGGTTGCCGGTTCGCGTCCTGGTGGGGGCCGGAATCTTTCTGCGTGGAGTTTGCATGTTCTCCCCGTGCAGCGTGGGTTCTCTCCGGGTTCTCCGGCTTCCTCCCACACAGTCCAAAAACATGTTTAGGTTAATTGGTGATTCTAAATTGTCCGTAGGTGTGAATGTGAGTGTGCTTGGTTGTCTGTCTCTAAGTGTGGCCCTGCGATGGACTGGCGACCTGTCCAGGGTGTCCCCTGCCTTCGCCCTAAGTCAGCTGGGATAGGCTCCAGCCCCCCCACGACCCTAATGAGGATTAAGTGGTGTATAGAAAATGGATGGATGGATGGATGGATGGAAGTTCTAGCTGCTCTGACACCAACAAGTTAACGATTGGGTTCTTTTCTGTGAAACAGGGAAACTAGGCAATTTCCCTGAGCTGCTTCACTCTGCAAATGCGCTGCTCTGTGCCTTTGTGTAAACAATAGCTTTCAGTGATTGACTACTAGGATACAGCTAATCAGATAGTGGTATGGGCAGGACATTGCTTTACACCACAGAGTGCCTGCAGGGAGAGAGAGAGCGTTGGCAGCATCTGAGGCAAAGTCGCACATTTAATTCATTTAATCAGTCAATAAAGTAACAAAACCAATAATCAGAAAAATGCTAAATATTGGCCTCAATAATCAGCCAGGCCGATAATCGGTTGATACCTATTAGAAAGTTACAGATAATAGTCGATACTAGCACCTGCTATCTGATGTCAGAAAGGTGGAGGTGGTCCTGACGCCATCTGACATGCAGTTCAGACGAATCATAAATCCAGCTCACCTGATCAGACTCTACCTGCAGACTGGAAGAGGCCTTATTGAAGACATGATCCCACCAGTGGAAGGTGAACTGCTCCCCTTCCTTATGACCAACCTGCCAGAGAAAAGTACTAATGAGTTTATCTCAGGCCTGTTTTTATACAGACAAGACAGACAATACATACAAATAATCTGGCAAAATGAGATCAAGTGTCACTCACTCCTCCTTTGTCACATTTCACTTTGACCTTGATTGCCTCCGATATGCCATTTTCAGCTCGCCCAAGTCCTTTACCTGAGGATAGGGTGGGCTGATTAAGACGCCTGCAGCTGAAAATGACTTGGTGCAGCTGATGTTGGATTGTTGCAGGAAAAAGATGAAATTACTTACCATGTTCCCAGCCATGACGAAGGAGCTGCTGCTCTGCAAACTTCAAGCCTCGACTTTTCTCTTGTACAACTTCTGCCATCTGTACAAAAAGACAGGTAGTAAGCTATTAGGCAAAAGAAAAACTCTTATGTTTTCCTTCTCTTGTGCTAGATATCAATGTGTTGCCATCCAAACAGCTATTTTGGTCACACACCAAACCATATTTATCAACATAATAATACAAGCCTTATAAATCATAGGGACTTATGAAGGTGGTAATTAGAGTTGGGCAATGGGAATTGGGAACCAGTGTCAAAGTTCTAATTCAAAATAAAGCATTAAGAAAGTTTAAGTTTGATTCTCCTTGTTGGTTCTTCACTCATGCTACTTTATAAGCAGTGCACTACCATTTATCTACCGCTGTTCAGAATGCGTATTTGCTCCTGATGCAGTTTTCTTAATAAATCGTAAGTGCTGCTTTATTCTCAGCTAACCTGCTCAGCTGTTGGTTAGTTGCTTGATAAACAGGTGAGCAACACAAGTTGTGGTACTGTAGTGTAATAATCCCCTTCAGTAAATGCTACTCCAGAACATAAAAGGAGCTTAATCAGTCATACTGGTAATCAATACATTTCCAATGATTTTTAAAGCAAAGAGGCAAAACCTTTAGCAGGCTCTGATTGACTAATTTATGGGAATTTGTGATTGACATTTTTCACTGTATGCTAATATTCTAAAAAGGTCAAATATCAATTGTAAGACTCACTATCATAAAAATAATACCCTTAAAAAGAACTCATGAGCTGTGTTTTTAAGAGATTGTCAGTCTACTTTCATACACAATCACTATAAAGTCACGTAACTTCTATATTTCAACCCTATTCAGCAGTTATGTCTATATTTTGAACTGCAGCTGTGAAATATTGCCTCAGATGTAAGTTGCACCAGTATTCATGTCAAATTTTCTTTGCAGTACAATTACACAAAGCAAAATGTTTATTTACAGTTGTTCCTGTCATGTTAATTCTACTTTCATCCTTCTCGTCAGCACTCTGTGTATAAGCCAAAGCTAATGTAATTCACAGTTCTGTGTTGTTGATGCTAACAGCTAACCTAAAAGCTGAACGCATCTGTTTGACAGCCTTAATTCTGCGAAGGTTGAATAGAACTGCGAGACCACAACAGAAAGAAAAATTCAGTTTACCTCTCGACGTCTTGTTTTACTAAAATTTCCTCACTGAAAACGGCAGGAGTGTGAAACAACATCAGCATCAGCAGACAGCCATGCGGCTCCAGCTGCAGGCAGACATGACACCGGGCTGACGTCAACGCCTTCTTCTTCTTCGCTTTCTTCTTTTTCTTCTGTGGGTTTCAATGGCGGTTGGCAAACTAAGGTAAGGTGCATTATCGCCACCAACTGGACTGGAGTGTGGACGAGCGATTAGGCAGCTAAAAAAAAAAAAAATTATGTTACCTAGCTCCGTTTCTCTAATGAACTTAATGATGAAATGTTGAACCTTGTTTGCTGATTCCCCCAGAAGCCCTGATACTGTAAAGTTATGATGTTTTGCCTTCCTTAATGACAGGTGGAGATCCTTCCTCTGATTATCATATTTGTTGCAGTGAAGTAACACGTGTTCAACTGTTTCTGGCTGGTTACAATGTGTGCAGTTTCCAGTGGGATGTTTCTCTTTCTTCCTCTGTGAGCGGTTTTACAGCAGCGCTCAGCTACAGGATGCTGTTCCCTACAAAATAAAAGGAGATAAATAAATGTAGAGATCCAGCTTAATCAAGGCACGAGTTACAGACACAGTGAACTAAGAATTTAATTGCACTAATAACTTGTTTATTGCTGTATACGACAATTAAGCTTTTGAATTCTTTAACAATATATTCACTCCAGTATTTGTTGTTGGTCTCTTTGATTACTAATGGTAATCAATTACTGGTATTTGAAATTAACTTGTACTTTATTATACTATATTTAGGGTCCGAGCACACCAGTGCAAGGACCCTATTGTAACTGTCATGATTATTAGGGTCCGAGGACCCCTACTTGCTGCAGCAAGCAGGCGGGCAAGGACCCTGTTGTTCCTGCTGCGTTTCTTTCTTTCTTCTTATTATTATTTGCCTGACCAACGCGTTTGCCTTAATTTGACCCCCTAAACACGCTCAAAAACTCACCAAAATTGGCATGCACGAATCGGCGAAAAATTTGATAAAATGAAAAAAAAAAAATCCTAAAATGCTCTCTAGCGCCACCTAGTTACAGAAAAACACACTAAAATGGCCCTAGCGCCCAGTAGGAATGTCGTACAGAGGTCAAACCAACACCAAAACGTTCGTCTCAATGAGACCCACAAATCTCGTGCTGACACCCCTGACCTATCTCAAACAGGAAGTCCGCAATTTGCCTTTCAATGTAAGAAAATCCGTGAAAACTTCTTTTGGGAAAAAATTATCTTGTCTGACACCGTAAATCACACCAACTTGAAAATCGCACAGGAGACAGAGAAGGCCTTGATGTACAAAAGTTCTGAAGGGACTTGGCGTTTCTCAACCGGTTTTCGAATGGCGAGCCGTTAAAGTTGATGAGCTGTTGCAGCCTGGGCTCATACTTTGTATAGTTGTCTATGGGACATGTGCAGACATGCTGTGTCAGTTGGTCATCTACAGAAAAAACTAAAGGTCCTACAGCTTTAAAACTGACACTGAGGGCTTCCTAGCAAGATTTCCCACAAAAATATGGTGTTTTTACACACATTTGGTGAAAATTGTGGCTTTATGGGAGAGAGAAAGTGAGTGAAAGCGAGTAAAACTCTCAGCTCTCTCAGCCAGGGGAATGCTGAACGATGACATCATCACAGCTCAGTGCAGCTGGTCATGTGACTCACTGACAGTCTGAGGCTGAGAAGACAGAGAAACATGTCTCCTTCAACTTAAAGCAGGTTTAAATTGCGTCAAAATGGAGGTCAGACCGGCATGAGGGTCAAACGCAGACCGAGGACCCGACCAACGCTGCTTGCAGCTTTAATTATTATTAATATTTATTCCGACTTTTGAAACGCGATTTTGAGGGCCTAAACATGCTCGAAAACTCACCAAAATCACCACACACATCAGGACTATCGGAAGCACATATGACCTACAGCTACGCAATTTGGAACGCATATAGAGCTGATCGGCACAAATAAAAACATCTCTCCGCTCCAAGCTCGAAAATGCAACGCGGCTCAACTGCGCCCCCTACAATATTTCAACGGAGTCCCATCGCGGCTACGTTTCACCTACAACTACGACCTTCGCCACACATACTGTATGTAGCAACTTGTGACGCACCAAAAAGTCCATTAGCATGTTTCTGTAAATCCAACAGGAAATCTGCCATGTTGCCAGGCCATTTTTGCTCAAAAATGGCCATTTTTGGCCATTTTCTAAATCGAACTCCTCCTAGGGGGTACGTCGTACACACCTGAAATTTGGCAGGCACAAACTACATGACATGGTGACTAAAAGTTCTTCAAATGCTTCGCAAATGAGGCCCGGTGTGGAAATGGCGGCCCGTCCAATTTCGATCAATGGCCATTTTCTCCATTTTCGCAGTGTTTATTGCATTCAACTGACTCTTGTTGGATGGTCGTTTCACCTACAGCTACAAGATTCGCTGGGCATGTGTAGCAGGTTAGGACGCACAAAAAAGTCGACAACTCCAAGCCCTAAACCCAACAGGAAGTCCGTTATGTTGAAAAACCCCAGCGACAATTTTGGCGCATTTGGCTGACTTTTGGACATTTTTGACCATTTTCAAAATCTATCTCCTCCTACAGGGAAGGTCGTACACACCTGAAATTTGGCCAGCACAAACTACAGGAGGTGGTGATTACACGTTAGTAAAACGGTCCGCACAAGTGTGACGCCGTGGAAATGGCGCCCCCCTGAATTTGACCACAACGCCATAAAACACCAGAATACGAGACGTGCTGTGTCTGTGCTCCAATCGGCCTGATAATTAACACGCACACCGCCGCGGCTCACCACTAAACAGGAAGTGGCTCGTAACTAGGCCACACTTGCTCCGATCTGCCCCAAACTCGACATGCCGGATGACAGTCCCACCCGGAGCAGGTTTGCGCCACACCCCGCCATGCGCGAAGGCCGACAAGCGTAGGGCGAGGCTTTAAGCTTGCAGCTTTAATATTCTATTTGTACTCATTTTCCTAAAAAATATAAAATAAAATTCAGCCTGATGTATTAGACATCTTTTAAACACCTGGATCTTCATGAGATTGACAAAATTTTGCAGGTCTGAAAAAGATTTGGCAGCACTGCATGAATTTTAATGACTGTCTTGATAGTGGATCTGAGGCTTTAAACTTCAACATGTCAGCAGATGGCAGTATTTCACACCAGAAAAATAAGATTTAAATGATATTCAAGTGCTGTTCCTCATGCAGGGTGCCAACCTATAATGGTGCTTACATCAAAACAAATCAGCTATATTGAAAAGCTCATGTCAATAAGGGGAGTTTTAAATTTTTGGACTTGCATTCAGAGGAAAACCTGATCTGCACTCGTCTCTGATCTAAAAATATCTGGTAGACATAATATTTTATTATGTAGTACATTTAAACAACAGACATTGGCTCAAAGTACTTTCAAATGGAGAAATAAGTTTAAATATTAAGGTTAAAACCCTAAAGTATTAAATTAAATTATCCATAACAAATTGTCAGGATTCAAGATTCCTGGTTAAAATATCAAAATACAGGCATTAAACTGTATTATTCATCATTCAATACCAATCTTTTTCTTTAAAATGATTCCAAAATATCAAATAAAGTGATTCTTTACTGTTTAAGCTTTTTTTTCCCCCTGCGCATCTCTCCAGTTAACAGTTATTCTGGATCAGATTTTTCAACCAGCAGAAACCAGCTGTTTTTGTTGTATTTCACCCATAAAACTAAGCTATAAAACTAGTAGAGCTCCTCATTGCAGATGCTAGCGGCATGTTTCCAGGATGTAGAAATCAAATTGATTTAAATGCTTGGAATGATGTTTGCTGGGTGTGACAGACAGTTACACCCAGGATTGCTTAGCAACAGCAGATGTGTCTTTAGACACCTTTTCCGACTTTTACCAGGATGACTAAAAGCAGTACTAAAATGACAGCAACCCCCCTCAGTGTCCTCAGTGTGGGACTGCAGGAAACTATTTTATTTTCCCCTGCACTGATTTCCGCGCACTGAGGATGTTTGCTCGATCAGGCCTCCGTCCACAAGCTGTTTGTCTGTGTCAGCACTCAGAAGGAGGGTGGGACATGGTTGTCCTACTGTTTGGAAGGAGCAGGCTATTACACAGCTGTCAATAAAACCTGCAAGACACAAATAGAGCTGGCTTGAGACAAAACATGAAGAAAGAAGAAACTATATGCAGCTAAAAATATGAGGACACTTTTCTTTTTTTTTTTTGCATTTTGGGCTGTACTTAACTCTTCCAGTTGAGGAAGCTTCATGCTGCAGCACACACTGATGTGTCAGAAAACGGTGGCAGCAGTTTGGAGGAGGCCTTTTCCTGTTTCAGTACCTCTGTGCTCATCCTTTGGGAAAGCTGCCCACAGGATGGAGGCTATAACGACGGCAGATTTATGAGATGCTCAGCTATCACAAAAGTACAGGTGTCCACATTGTTTTGGCCATTTACTAAAAAGAATTTCACTTTGAAAAATATGTTAAATTTATTTCAACCACTAACATGTTTGCATTAAAGGAAAAGTTTGACATCCTGGGAAATATGCAGTCTTCATTTTGGATCTGTTTCCACCACATCCCTCTCTTTAAAGTTTAACAATTTCTCATGTTAATATCACAGAGCCCTGTTTAATGATTCCAAGTGATGGAGACATATGCACCTTAAATTCAGAAGCCTTAAATACATCATCTATTCCTTGGCTGAAAATACAGCTTATTGGATGTACAAACAAATTGCATTAATTTGTTCAATGAACCTGATAAATTATGGATAATAAAATGCTTCAAATTTTACAGTTTCAGGTTCTAAAAGTTTTTTTTTGACAGTACACTCAGTGCATTTTGTTGTAAAAATAAATAAATAAATGAATTAAAGATAATCATATTGATTACAAAACAGCAGTAGCATATTTATAATTTTGCATCTTGTACCTTACAATAATTCTGAGAGCTGCATTTGTAAGATACAAAAATGCGCAACGTCTTCCACACAGAAACAAACGTACTGGGGAGCGCTGCAGAGACAGTGTGAAGACGCAGTTATCTTAGCTTAGCATAGAAACTGGAAGCAGGGAGACACAGCGTCTGCTATCAGCACCTCTAAAACTCACTAAATGGTGTCATATCTTAGACTATTTCTAGTGACCTCACAGAACTCCTGGATGTCTCTGCACCTGGTCACAATAGTCATAACCTTCAGAAAACCACAAATTGTTATTTTATACCTGTTTCTGTACAGACTAAACAAACACGATATAATGCGTGTTGTAACCATCCATATCGGACAGCTGTTTCTCTGTTTCCAGTCTCTGTGGTAAGCTAAGCTAACCACATCCTGCTGCAGCCTTAAAGGTCTTAAACAAAGGACGAGGCAACGTCACCACTGCACTCTGACACTCATTAATTCAAAAAATGATGGTATGTTGCTGCACCAAGCAAAGCGCAACATGCAGGTTGGAGAGGCTGCACGCTCACCACGGTCAAAGTTCAACATGCTAGGGGCATCCCTATAGCTCACCTAGTTGAGCGGGCAACCCATGAACAGGGACTATTGTTCCCCGACGCAGCAGTCGTGGGCTCGACTTCCACTCACGACCCTTTGCTGCAGGTCTCTCCCCATTTTTCTCCCCCATTTCCTGTCTCTCTCTACTGCTCCAAATACAGGTAAAAAGCCCAACAATATATTTTGAAAAAGTTCGACATACTTGAACTTTGACCCCATCCACTATTACATATGTGCAGCCAACAGAAACGAGCCATCTCACCTGGCATGGAGGGCAAAATGGAGGAAAAGCTAATACTGTGTTCTGAACTTTTTGAATTGTATGACACAACTTTGCGATGTATCGAGACTCGGGGAGGAAAGCCTTTGAACTAGGCTAATGCTACCGCTGTCTTCTTAGCATGGGACAAATACACCTTGGCTGTTGAAGTATTTTCACAAACAGGAAGCTTCCTGCTTAAATAGGATGGTGACATAGCCCCACTGAAAGTTTTGAAAACTCTGCCTATTTTGCTCTCTAATCTGCGGCTCCCCCCGAGCAGTGCGGTAAATCTTTTATATTTGGATTACCTTAACAGAGATATTTAACAATATGTTGAATATTGATTTTTCAATTGATAGAAAGAAAGTTCAAGAAAGCAAGTTATTATATTGCCAAAATGTCAAACAGTGGCTTTAAATCATGAAAAAAAAGGTGAAGCTTAATGTTATGTAACAGCCTGCTTTACTGTAGTGACACCATCTGGTCAGAATTTATACTTGTATTTATCTACCTACCTACCTGTCTGGGTACCTAGCCAACCACCGATCATCAACTTATTAATCTAACTGCCGACCTACCTCTCCTATCATAGACTGTATAAAAGATGGAGGTAGCAACCAGCCCTGAAAAATGAAGCCAACCCTGAAGTGTCAAAAACCTGCAACATCACTACGTCAGCTAGTTGCTGGCTCCAAAAAGCCCTGGCTCCCACAGACTTGAATTGGAAAAGAAGTGATCACAGATCACGAAATACTGCATTCCTACAGCTTAGGATTTCTTTCTTATTAGTTTTCATAGTCAAATCTAAAAATAAATCAATACTGAATTTTTAAAAAATCGTCAAAATTGTGCGGTGCAAGGGGCGTGGCTGGCTTGATTGACAGTCGGCAGCAACGATGCAGACGAAGCAAGCAGAAGGCGGTACATGCAGAGAGGGCCTGCCTCTAAATCCCTCTGACCAATTGCTGCTCCTATGGTTCCGCACCCCTCCGACGATTTTTGCGTGACGTCACGGTAGCTATGTCCATCTTTTATACAGTCTATGTCTCCTATGTGTCTGTCTGTCTGTCTACCTACCTGTCCACCCACGGACTAGACCTAACTACCTACCTACCCATCATCTAATCATTTATCTTTCTACCTATCTTTTGTGTCTACCTAAGTACTTCCCAGCCTCCCTTAGATATCAACCTTATCTATCTTTTTGTCTAGCCACCTGCCTACTTAACTATCTAACTGCCTGTCTGCCTATTTACCTCCCTTACCTTCCTAGCTAATGTACCTGTCTATCTTAGCTACCTACTTACCTAAGGTACCTGTTTTTCTTACTTACCTACCTACCTACCTACCTTCCTACCAAACGTTCCTATATATCTTATCTACCTACTTACGTAAGGTCTATCTTACCTATACCTACCTATCTACCTACGATACCTGTCTATCTTACCTACCTACCTACCTACCTGCCTGCCTACCTAAGGTACCTGTTTGTCTTACCTACCTACCTACCTACCTAAGCTATATACTGTTACCTACCTACCTACCTACCTACCTTCCTACTTTCCTACCTAACCTATATACTGCTACCTACCTACCTACCTACCCCACCTTATCCTTACTTACCGACCTATCATACCCACCAGCTTCTCTGTGCGTCTTTATATAGCTGAAGTGTATTTTTCCACCTGGACTGTCAGAGTGCAGCTGCTCTGTTTTCCACCAGGTATCATCTCACAGGACTCTTTCAACTCTTCTGAACCCTCACTGTGAGACATCAATGTCTGGAAGCCCACTGAAGACAAAAACAACTCTCCCCCCTTGGACCTCCCCAAACCTCCTCTCTGTCCCACTCCTCCTCCTCGTCCTTCTCCTTCTGCTCCAGCTCCAGTCCCAGTCCCCTCTCTGTCACAGTTTTTCCACTTTCTTTGGCTGCACTTCAGGACCCTCCCCCGTTTGGATGCGGCGCTGCGCTTTTTCTTTCGTCCTCGCACTCTTCTGAATGTTTACGCGGCTTCAAGATTTTTCCAAGTGTGTGAACCATTATCAACAAACGAGCTTTTTCTTATCGAGTCGGGTATTAACTGAAACATCGCAGCGGACTGAGGATCCGGCTATTTCTCCGCCGGCAAGGTCAGTAACAATGATGTCAGTGAAATGTGAAAAAAAACTGCGAAACTGAGACGTTTTTAATGGAAACTGTGTCACCAGACGAATTTTGAACATTTTAAATTGTGAATACTTACGCATGCTGTATAGGAATGCGCTGTTATGACACTTGGACGCAGCGCAAAGCCCCTCAAAAACGCTGAAAAGCGCAATAATAATGATATAATGGTGACGAGCGCAATGTATCAATATAATAATGGTAAACACTCATGAAGGGCATCGTTTCTGTATTATGAACACTTGAACTTTTTATTCTTAATCCTGCAACATTGTACTTTTACTTAATTATAATTCCAGTTAAACGTTTAGTGCTTTTTATTGTTCTTCTGCTGCTTTTATCAGCAAGATGCACCGAAAGCATCAACAGTCAAAGCTCCTTTTATGCAGAATAAGTCAATTCATACTTTTAGATGACAGAATAACCCCATATGGTACTGTTTCATTGTCCTAACATGCATGAAGCATCTCATTTTTGCACTTTTGCATGCATTTTAAACGATAAATCAACAGTAACTCCATGTGTCGGATAACTCTGGTGAAGTTGAAGGAGCATGAAATGACCCTCTGTAGATTTCAGAGGGGGAGACGCATTAAGCAGGGGTCTGGGCGTTCTCCCATAGGAAATCTGGAGCAGCAAAGACGTAATTTCCTGCATTCTGGTGAATTTTTATGCATCAGTTTCTACTTTTTTCTGCATCAAATGCCAAGATGGAAGTAAAGAAAAGCACCAAATTCAGGCACAATGAGTAAAATGTAACAGCAGTTTTTTGTAATCTGCATCTCGCCCTTACATCTGTGTTGGACGGTAACTAAGTACTGGACTTTAGTATAATTTCGGCTTATTTGTACTGCTATTTTATTCTCCACTTCAGTTCAGAGGCAAATTTACTGTGTACGCCACTGCATTATTTGAATACTTTAATTACTTTGCAGATTTAGTTTAAAAGCACAAAATAGAATGTTTTAATATTATTGATTTGCTTTAAAGTATATTGAGCCCTTGAGGAAACATTCACTAGCTGCCCACCTTCACCAGCTATTAATGCATCTATACATGCACAGAATTAAGTGCAATATCATTATTTTCCCCATCCAAAGTGCAAAATTCCAATTTCTACATACAGAAGAATCTGAAAATCAGCAGTGCTATTGTATATTTGTTGCTTATTTTTGAATTTTTCTACTGATGTTCCCTCATTTTTGCACTATCCCACTCACTGCTGTAACACTGTAAATCTACGCTGGTGGATTAATAAATGCTTGTTTTATTAAATATATTGCTAAATATGGCATTCTGCTTTTGCCTAATTAAAATTATTTTTTATTCTTTGATGTTTTTATTGGGGAGGTTAAATGCACATCCGTTGCATCCCCCTGTTGTTTCTATGAAACCTTCTCAAAGTTTGGTACAGTATTTGACAGATTTTGGCAGATTTGTCAACTACAGTTTGGTGTTTTGTTCTTTAATCATCTTATCAGCTTCATATGCTGCATACTGACCTCAAGCAAACAAACTTTGTTCATCTACAAGGACAAAATGTTTTCAACTTGCTTAAATGAGCTTCTACTGCTTTATACACTTGCTGCATGTGCTTTGCTTTGTGAGGCAGTTTTTGTTTTTTGTTTTTTTCTTTTGGCATCTCCGGCTGCTTTTAAAACTCCTTTAGCTCCTATCAGGAGAGTCAGAAAAGCGTCTTCATAGGGTCATTACAGATGAACTTGCTGGGAGCAGGTCTGCTGTTTCCTCCTCCCCCTCCTCTTCTGGTTTTTGGCATTGGATTTAATGTACTCGTTCAGATTTAATCTGAGTCCTGGGGTACCTCAAGGTCACCCAGGCCACTGGAACGTGGTGGCTGCATCCTGTGACATCCTGTTGTGTTGGTGTGACTCCTTTATGTTGTGTTAGTAATCAGATTGAGATGGGATTTGCATGTTTTCTCTGAGGATGTGAGCGGCTTCAGTGGATGTTTGTTTTGGGCATGCATGACACGAGCAGCTGTGTGCAGCGCTCTGATATGAAAAAGTCTATCAAACAAATAATTTCATGCACTGATTGTGTGCTCATTGTTTTCTTGAGATGCTCTTTTTGCTCTAGTTTTTAGGAAACCAATTGTGAGGAGTTTTGGAAACAGACCAAATACGGTAAACAGGTTATTCATAGTCACTTGTTAACAAATTGAGGTGTTTGTAGCTGGATCTGTGAAGTGATGAACTCCTGCACATGGAAGCGTGCTGTTTTGGACAGAAAATCCTCATTTGTTTCCCTCGGTGGAGCTGTAAAATCACAGTCAATCACTGTTAATTCAGCATTGTTGCACTTGTGAATGAAAAGCTTTTTAACTAAGGGAGCCTGGCAGCATTTCACTCACAAAAACATCTGTGAGGAAGGCAAGACGTGATTAAGTATCAGAGTAAATCTTAGCCACTTGCTTTGGACTCCTGACCTTGCATTTGCGTTGGCAACCAAAAATCTCCAGGAAGTCTGTCTGCTTGCAGACTGAACTTTCTTTTATGCTTCTTCGAGTGTTTTTAAAAGCTCAGCTCTGTTTCTACATGTGCCATTGTTTGCAGATATCAAGTTCATGATTTTTTTTTTAAAGTTCTTTTTTTGGCCTTTTTGCCTTTATTGGAGCAGACAGTCAAAAAAGAGACAGGAAAGTTGGGGAGGAGAGTGTGGGAAGGGGTTGCAGCAAAGGGCCATGAGCGGGATTCGAAACCATGGCCGCTGCATTGGAGACTATAGCCCCTCTACATGGGTTGCCAGCTCAACCAGGTGAACTAAAGCAGCGGCCCCAAGTTCATGAGTCTAAAGGTGAAAAAAGAGCTCAAGTGTCCTCATATGAGATCCTCATTAGCTGAAAATGAGTTTGCCCTCTTAAGGACTGTTTCAGCTATCAGTGGTTAATGGGTCCTTTTTTTTTTGTTGTTTTTGTGTCTGGTCAAGCAACAGAAAATTGTCTCTTGTCTGACAGCTGGAGGTCTGGCTGACTTACTGTCTGTTTGTCCAGGAGAGGACTCGATCTCAGGCAGGCTATTGGATATGTTTTGCTTAGAGATGATGCTGGCCAGAGATGCAGAGAGATGAGGTAGATTTAGAAGAAAGGAGGCGAGAGTTGTCAACTTCATTTGATCCTCCACCGCCTGGACTTTGCTAAAATTTATGGTAACACCGCACAGGGCAGTCAGGGTGTCTGCGTGATGTCTTTAGGAAGCCACACCTTTTCTTGACAAGATTATACACGCTGGCCACACACCATGTCTGAAGTGACATCCCAGCATGAGGTCTGTGTTCGTAGGATCCATCGACTCCAATAGAATTTCCTGTCTACTTTATTATGGTAATAAGTACACGCATGCTTGCAGCCATGCCAGTTGTCAAATCAGGTTATATGTTTATTTCATTTCATTTCAGGGCTGCAAGGTGGCGCAGTTGGTAGCACTGTTGCCTCGCAGCAAGAAGGTTGCCGGTTCGCGTCCCGGTGGGGGCACCGGAATCTTTCTGCGTGGAGTTTGCATGTTCTCCCCGTGCAGCGTGGGTTCTCTCCGGGTTCTCCGGCTTCCTCCCACACAGTCCAAAAACATGTTGAGGTTAATTGGTGATTCTAAATTGTCCGTAGGTGTGAATGTGAGTGTGCTTGGTTGTCTGTCTCTAACTGTGGCCCTGCGATGGACTGGCGACCTGTCCAGGGTGTCCCCTGCCTTCGCCCTAAGTCAGCTGGGATAGACTCCAGCCCCCCGCGACCCTAGTGAGGATTAAGCGGTGTATAGAAAATGGATGGATGGATGGATGGATGTTCATTTCACTCTTTAGTAGCTAGTGATGCGCAAAGCAGTTCTTTTCTGTGTCCTGAATCACAAAATCAGTTCACTTAAAAGAATCCATTGTTCTGACACTTTGACAAACATGCCAAACTCCATTCATGATTCTTGATGTTCTAAATGTTTTCCTGCTGAGTATCACAGATGTACACTAGTTTGGAATGACTTTTAAGTGTTATTAACTGATCAACAGTTCAGCATTACTTCTGACCTTGCTCAAAGTAATTCTGGCAGCTTGGGCCACTATCATGTATAGTTAAGAACAGATAAACCCTTTGTGACACCAACCAAAGGTACAAATTGTCATGTAATGACATCCGCCTTCCTTAATTCAGCATAGCTTAAAGTCTTAAAACAATTTGAACAGGTGAAAAATAAAAATTTACCCCTTGGACAGTTGTCACAAATGAGAAAATTAGCTATAGAGACCAAAACTCTTTTCATACTGGGCTGTAATCATGTTTATGTCTGCTGTAAAGTTGGACATTTTAATATGGAGGTCTATGAGAATTTACTCACTTTTGGAGCCTCAAGTAGATATTCAAGGAGCTTCAGTTTGTGGCACTTCAAACTAACAAACTGAACTTCATGTCAGCTGGTGTCGTCATGTTTTATGCTGTCCTGAGACAAAGAGCTAATCAGTAAATGTTTGTTGTGTCTGAATTAATCTGAAAAGGATGTTTAGGTCTCACATTGAGCACACACAACTCTTTTTTAGCAAAAATAAAAAAAACACATCAAGTGAGCATGAAAAGCTTTCCACAAAATTGAGGTAATTTCAACATTTTGGTTACTCTTTTCTAATGTGGTACCTCAAAATGTGCATAAAAATACATTATAGCTCGTGTTAGTATTTAACTAAAGTGTAGCCTCATTTCCAGCAGTTCTGTAGAGTCATTTTCTTTTAGTTTCTGTGTGGATGCTACATTATACTTTTAAGTCAAGCAAAAAGAGTGGCACTGGTTTTTCTGAGGTTGTCTGTTGACTATGTTTTTAACATTAAAATCTACTTTTAAGAGCAAAATGCTATTGGAAAATGTGTTTATTCAATCCATGCTCTCACTTTTATGTATCAGTTTTCCTTTAAGAGAGTGAGAGAGAGAGAAAAAAAGGCCTATATTGACTTGACAAACTCCTGTTTTTGA